GCCTCTCAGAGCTGCTGGAGTCAATAAACGAAGCAGATGAATTCTCCTGTGTCCCCAAGACTCCACACTGCTCTAGAAAGGCCTGGCTTTGAAGGTCATGGGGGAAAGTTATACTGGTCACCTCAGCCAGCCTCAAAGACCTGATGGCTATTCCTCTCCCCTGGAATACCTACTTACAGAAAACATCAAATTTGAAGGACAAATGTGCGAACCAGCCCACATGAACGCTACTCCAAACACCCCGCTGCCAAGCTTTCTGGCTTGTGTTGTGTTTCAAAATTAAAGAAACCACTTCAAAAACCTTTGCTGAGCAGCACTGAACTGGTATAAGCGATCAGGTATCTTGTATTTCCCCAACCTGCAGAGAGCCCAACCAGAGGAATAAACCCAGTGCTGTTCTTCTGAGCCACTGGTGGTGTACCAGTTTACCTTCACAGGGACCTGAGCCTTCCACACTTGGCAGAGATATATTTCCTCTGGAAACACTTGGTTTGCAACAGTGTGTGCTTCTGCTGCGAGACATTATTTTTTACCCTCAGAATTAATGATTAACAATTAAATTATTTGACAGGGGAATAGAGGCCCAGTGCTAATTAAATTCCTTTGCCTCTCCTCTTTGCAAAGAAAAAAAATTATATTTCTCAGTATCAGCATTCAACCAGAACAGGGCAGTTTGTGATGTTGGACTTAATTAGACGGACAGCCATGGGCACAGTCAAAAAAAGCATGAAAATATTGCACAAGGGCTATACAGAGGGGTGGGGCAGGGGGGGAGAGAAGAAGGGAGGAGAAAAAAAATAGCCAACTGGGGAGCTGGGAACTGAGCAAACTAAGATGTCCAGATTGCAGGAGAGCCACTTTCTAAACCAAATAATTTTGTATAAGAACATATCATTTGTTTAGCTGAAACAAAATAATGCAGACAGAGCAAACAGTGCCTGTATAGGCTGGGAGAAGCCAGTAACAGGTGTCCTGCAAAGCTTGACTGCTCCATTTTAAGGAATGCAATTCTTAGGTATCCTGAGCAGCTGGGCTGTTTATCTCCACCAGCTTTCACCTTCATGTGCTTGCTGGTGGGCTGGACCTCCTAGGGACTTGGTGGTGTCTGCTTACACGCCAGTGTTAATATCACAAAAGATTATGCTAGTTCATCAACCCTTTGAAGAGATCCTTTCCAGTGTTGTTGCTGTGATAATTGCCTGATGGCACCTTCTCAGCCAGATCCACTAGGGATTACACCAGCGTAAATAAGATAAGCCACTGTCTGGCTGCTATTAAAATGCACCAAGAGCTCTCAGCTCAGACAACACTCCTGCACCAATGCAAACTACATTCTCAGTGTTTTTGTTACATGTTTTGCCTCTTTTTGTTTATTTGGAGAATAAATTTTCTCTCTGAACAACACAACAACCCACCCTAAATTTCCAAATTCTTTTCTATCATCAATAATTTTCAAATCACTTGGCAATTTCCCTGTCCTTGTCTCTGCTGGGCCAGGAGACAAACAGTGCTATGGGACTTTCAAGGGTGTTTCTGTAAGAACTAAGGGATGGAGAAAAGTCCCAGAAAGCTCCCAAGGCAGCCCATAGCACTGGCCAAGACAGACCTGGAAAAGAGCAGAAGCTGATAGCTTTTTTGGGTGCTGTCTGAGCTAAACTGCCATAGCAAAGCTCAACTGTCACCACCAGAGTGACCATTTCAGGGTTGTGTTAGATGTAATCCATCCCTCCAAAGCATGGTGGAGTGGCCCAGCCTCTCTGGAGCTCGCAGTGCTGTTTCCTACTATTACTTCTGAGCTAGAGAGTAGACACATCTGCCTGCTGCCCACAAAGGATGTGGAAAGGCTTTGCTATTTCCTCAATCCCCACTCTTCTTGTAGATTGGGGGTGGGGGGAGTTGTTCCCAGCTAGTTTTAGGAAAACATTTAGTAACCAAATAGAAACTAGAAGAAACTTAGAACTCATCATTCCTAGGTCATCTGGATAACAACACACAGCAGCCAAACAGAGCTTCTAAAACACACACCAGGGGGACAGTTTCAGCACATCCCCAAAGGTGCTCACAGAAACTGCTCATAGGGATGGACATGAAGCTGCAAAAAGCAGTGGGGCTGTGAGAGGGTCGTCCTCTCCCAGGTGCTTGTGGGAGTAATTTGTCTTAGATATATCCTTCTGTGTAGGAACTGAAACCATGAAATTCATTTACTTGCAACTTTGAAGCAGAAAGAATCAGAAAATGGCACCCAAGAAATACCAGCAGACTCACTCATTGGAAGTGGAGTGAACATATTCAGCATGGGCTTTCACACTGAGTTTACAGGAAAAGCTGAACACTGATATCTGTGCGTTTTCACCTCATTTTTTTAAACAAATGCCAGGGGAATTGCAGTTTTTAATTATCTTCTTGCACTTAAAGCTTATTAGATTTGTATTGCCTCTTCCCCTCCTCCCCCTTTCCACTTCCATATACTTCCTCCAGTCTACAATTAATGAGAAGATATCAGTGTATTGCACTATCTGGCATCTCGCTGCTGAAGTGGCAGGAGACTTTGGTTACCAAGTCATTTGCTGCTTAATTGCAATCTTTTCTCTAGACTTATTGCCATGCAGACATTCTATTGGAATGCAGTAGTCAAGCCCAGTATTGATTGTCCTCCCACTCCCAGCTTTCTTCCTCTGTGTTTGCAAATCAATTGCACCTCGTTTCTTTCTAAAAAAGAAAAAAAAATTAAAAAACATCACCCATTCCACAACCCTATTTACTCCTGAAATACTCTGGTTTGGCTTTGCATAGTTTCTTAGAGCAGAGACAAGAAATGGCAGGTGGCTATAGTAAAAACTAGATCCACACCTTGTCAGATCATCTTCAAGCATGAGTATGCATCAGCCAGTTCAGATAAGGTCCTGTCTGGGAGTGGATTGTGAAGATATAAAGGGTAAATCAAATCCTAGTTTTAGACTCTCTGGAAACGATCTGGAATTTCTCTCCCCTCTTTATTGCAGAAATTAAACAATTTTGAACTGTTAAAAGTCTAGCAATCAGAGAACCCTAATACAGTTGCAGTTTGCAGAAGCAGCCAGACTGCAGTTGTGAGTTTGCAGGATTGAAAACCAAGGCTTGGCAAGCCATCACCTGCTAACACTAGAAAAGAGAGGCAGTGCAATACAGGTTATTACAGATGCCTGACTTTGAAATTATGGCACTGAAACCCTTTTTGAATCCCATCCGTTTTTAAAGTCCCTGGGCAACTCTGTGGTTCAAGCATTCTTGTTAAGGCCTTATCTAGACAACAGTTGTGTCTTTGGAGTCTGAACTCAAATTTGTATTGTATAAACAGGTCTTTGAGGGCAGGGTCACATTAATGCTATGCATAGTAACTGTCCCTAAATTCTTCCTGATAGATCTTGTGTCAGTACTTAGCACTACTCTTCTGAAAGACAGCAGGTTTGACTACTGCAGACTCTCTTGAGACAAGAAATGCAAAACTTCCCAAGGTGAGGTTCTCATGCTGCAAAAGGACTCCATAGTGTCATGTGCGAGGATATACGTAGCTAAGTATCTTGTGCCTGTTGTAAATATTAGGCCTCTCAGCTGCTCTGCCATAGTACCTTCTCACTGTTCCCACACAACCTTTGTACTTCAGAAATATTCATGAGTTTTGCAAACGGTGAAGCAATGAACCTCGCTTCCTCCTGAGCAGCTTGCTTCGGCTTATTATACATTTGCATTGCAATACTGCCTGTAGGCTTCAACCAGCATCAGGCATCTGAACCCACAGGCTGAGACAGCTCTTGCCCTAAGCACATTGTCACCTACGGGGGTTTGGGGGTTTTTGTTTGGTGGTTTTGGGTTTTTTGTTTGTTGTTTGGGGTTTTGTTTGTTGTTCCCACCCCCCACCCCCCCCAGCTAATCTAGGCAATTCTACACCACACTTGCAGCCTGGGAACAGATCTGTGTTCATGTAGAAGCCATATAACCATAGGGAAGAAACTGAATAGTGTCTATTCCTGTCTTGGAAATCAAACCTTCCTGCAAAGTTGAGAATGAGCACCTAGTATGAGGGGTCACTTGTTCCTGCATAGATAGCAACAACAGACACTTCCTAAGCCCAAATCATCACCCTGCAGATCTTGCAGACTCCTATAGATACAGAAGGCACATTTCCAGCCTTAGATTTTCATCTTCTACAGATAAACTGGTAATTTCACTCTTTCTACCCCAGAGGCCATACAGGTCCCAAAAAGGTTTCATTTCCTTTCATCCTCAAACCAACACGAGAATCATTTCAGGATCACACTCCAGACAACTCCCAGTCCAGAGACAGTGTTGCTGTATTGAACTCAGACCCCTGCATTGCAGGTACCAATAGCAAATGCTGGACTGACCAGCAAGCTGGAAGCAAAAACACATCTATCCCCTACAGTCCCAAAGGCTCTGCAGGAGCTACGCAATCACGTGATACTCATTTAAACCTCAAATTCTGGATTGCTCTGATCCTACCTGCCTTTTGGAAAATTAGGCTGTCAGATTACCAAATATGCTCCTTGCTATTTGCCATGTAATTAAGCAGTAATTGCTGCCCAAGGCTAATCTCAGAGTGTATTTTTCCTGTGGAGCTCAGTGCCAGAGTTCAGATTTGTAATTTAGTGGCATGCCAAGGAGCTATACCTAAACTCACAAAAGGATTTTCTCCACTCATCATCTCTCTTCTACTTTGGTGGCAGATGGGATTCTGTATTCAGAGATGTTTGGGCTAGGCAAACAAATTAGCAGAGACCAGCCTCATTAGGAATTCATATGGGTAGCCATCCTGCTTCACCGCAGGA